AGCCAACGAGGCGCATGGCGCCGAGTTGGCTATAATCATCTCATATCCAACAAGCGCGAATGGAATAATTGTTTTATTAAAAAAAAAAAAACGCCCCTAAGATATTAGACAAATCTTCTCGACTTTATTTTGTAAGAAGAAACCGAATGTTACAATGTACAGATATTAGATTATGGTATATTGGCTCATATACCATAATGGCTAAGTCAATAAAAAGTCTTGAACTCCATTCATTATCCAATGATCCAGTTTTTAATAATTGCATATAGACGTTAGAAAATTTTTATCCAACGTTAATTTTCGCACCTGAGACTGTGGTTGATGAAGAAAAGTGTTCATTTTTTATGAAGCATCTTGGAAGGAGCGATCAGTCAAGAGGAGTCAAGTGAGTTGCCTCGCATGTAAACAAAGAACAAAATTTAAAAAAAGAGTCAAAGAGTTTTTCGTATGCCTGAGAGTCACTGCTGCCAACATGCTGGTCCCAACTAAAAGCAAATTTCTGATAACACCTAAGGTCGCTGAAGTAACAGGAACATTTCCCACACACACGCGCACGTGGTAAACAAGTCAGACAGCTATGATGACTCACAGCTAATCGAAAAGTACAATGTTTCAGGTTAAGTGAAGAAATTACCCTCAGTCCATGCGTGTCTCAAATCGATCGGCTGTTTACATGCGAGGCAATTCATTTGAAAGTGCTGACTGTTCGTTCTTTCCGATATGCTTCAAAACAAATGAACACTTTTCTTCACCAACCACAATCTCAGGTGCGAGAATTAACTTTGGATGACAACTCTGTGACGTGAACAAGCAATTATTTTTTGTCCTCGACAAATAAAAGAGGATGTCATGTTACTTGTCTCTTCTTTTATTCACTTTTAGCGTTCTGGGTATTCCTACAGGGGATGCCGAAAACACTAGTGTTTTGGGTACGGGCATATCCAAATCTCGGGGATACCCACAGCACTGTAACAGCGTGACTAAAACCGGAAGAAATCAAACTGAAAGAAATACAATACGAAAAGGGAAAGGGAAAGGGGAGGGAAATTAACCGGAAAGGTAGAATTCTTGAGGATGGAAGCTAAAAGATAAAAAGTGATCAAAGAAAGTAGGTTGAAATAAGAGAAAGCAAACTAAATAATTTCAGTCTGAAAAAATCCTAAATGATTAACAACTATTCACCTCCGTGCCATGGGCTAATAATCGATATTTATCCAGCTGCGAAGCTAACAACAGGATTGCATATCACCACTCAACTTGAAGTATTCGAAACTTACCTGTTTTGAAATATTTCAAACCAAAGTTAGGCTCTAGTGGTGTAAAATATAAAAAGTTCTGTTTCTGAATCAAAGTTTGGACTCCAACCCCCCCTCGTGTTAAAATTTCCTGGAACTGCCCCTTATCTTAGGTATTCCTTTCAAATGAAATATCAGTAATTATAAAGTATTCTTTTACCCTTTTTTTTCTTCTGTTCAGCTTTTCCTTCTCCCGTTACACGTTTAGCGATGAAGAAGAGACTAGTTAGTGTGGCCGAGTGGTTAGAGTGTCGGACTCGTAATCCGCCGCTCCCGGGTTCGAGTCCCACCCTGACCACTGGATCTGTTTCACGGTAGCCCCGAGTTCAGATCCTTGGCCACGCTTGTAAATAGCCAACTGGTTTGCCTCCGGCCGGTTGGGGTTCTTAATGAAGTTCTTAATGATGTTATGTTCAATGTAGACCATTTGTTTCATTTGTTTGCAAGGACCACAATGGAAACTACTGGTTCACCAGTAATTGTGTAATCCTATTATCTCATAGACTAATCTTTTCCCCACTTCTGTATGAAACGGACTTTGGAGAATGCCAAAAATAATGCCAAATCCGGACAGTAAACATCCAATTAACTTGACAATCCTTAGGTTCAGAGAAAAGTGTTTTCGCCTTGTCACGAGCGTGGGACAAAGAGAAAATTCAGGGTCCCCATCAGGAATCGAACCTCAGACATTCGGATTCTGCGCTCCGATGCTCTACCGCTGACCCACAGAGACTCTATGATGAGCACGCGTCCTGTATACTGCTGCCATCGGCGATGTATTGCCGATCCCAGCAATACGAAAAAACCTTGATATTCTTTTCCTTTCAGAGCTTAACCACTGTCCGTATTCATACATTTAATAGGAAGCATGATATGCTGGAAGAAGACATGACGATAAGAATTGTTACGAGTTCTTTAAGACATTTGACAAACATGTATCATGTCAGAGCAATCCGTTGTATTTCACCTTGTTAATGTTCACACCTCCATCTTTTCCCACAGAGATGTCTAAGTCTCCTCATCGGAATTGCTTGAACTTTCGCTGCGTAAAACATGGACCAAATCGAAACATTTACTTTCTTTCTCGTCAGAGATATCGTTCACTAGAACGGAAATCGAGGAATATTTCAGAAGATTCCGGAACATTCTGGAGTATTACGCAGCATGACCCCAGTTGACAAGGAAAAGGAACGGAAAGGGCAGGCAGTGTTCTTGAGGAGACAGGGCCCTTGAAACGAGGATATCAAAGAGGAGTGGGAAAAAGAAGGATATGACGAGGTATATTTTTAACGAGCACGGGAGAAAAACGACGTGAATAACATGCAAATCGTTGTAATTTCCCAAGGATCACTGTACTTGTTTAGCAGAAATTTTACTGTTGCGCTGAACTAGGACCACAAGGGTTGGGAAAAATAGGGCTGCAGTGCGTACGTATTGTTATTGAGGTGTATTTATTTCATGTTGAGTGTGCATTAAATCAGAATTTCGATCATATAACCTTAAACCTTTATTTTTTCTTATTTTTCTTTGGCCTTTCTTTCTTCCACTACATATTTCGCACGAAAGGAGAAGAAATTAGCCTAGTCAGAGAGAAATTTATCAAACAGACTTGTCTTTTTCCACTTTTCTGGGAAGCGGACTTTGGAGAATGCTTCAGTGCAATGGAAAAGCAATGCAAAAGCCGTTTTATTTTTAAACATCCAATCAGAAACAAATAGGACGATCCTTATTTTTCTTTCTCCTTGTCCAATTTCAGCAAAGTTTTTCCACTCGTCAAGCCTGATTTTATTTTGTTTCTATAAGACAAAATTGTCAAAATCTAAAGTTGCTATACATTCACTACAAACGACAATCTTACTAACGTTAAGACAATAATCTATCCTACCGGCAGTCATCTATAATTTAATTGAAAAACCTAGAGCAGCCATGGCCTAACAAGGCGAACAAGAGTCAATGTGAGGGAATCATAAAGACTCTTCGGACCATTTTGGCTTCCGTAGTGAGAACGTTACTTCGTCAACAACCTCGATTGCAATCTTCTAATTCTAGAGTCAATAATCGTCTGTTAAGATTTCTCTCATTTTGGTTTCAAATCCAACAATGACAGCTCCTTTCAAGGTGATTACGCTAAAAAATTACACTTCTTTAGAAAACCACACCATCTGTAATGCTTCAGTTTCCTCTAAGGTACTTTCTCACAGATATTATCTCATGTCACCTCCCTTAGGAATTGTTTACCTTGGGTTAGCTATTGAAGTCAGGTTATGCGATGTGTAACTATGGGAACGTATTTTATTCAAAGATGAATTTTTATATTGTTTTTCTTTCTTTTTCTTTTTTTTTTCTTTTTTTTATTCGAAGCTTACTTCGGACCATCTTTTCAATTCAGCGCAGATAAATTCATATATAAAAGCGCAAACTTGCGTCAATTCTGACGAGGCTCGGACACAATTTTGTCAAAGTGAGCACTAAGTTATTTGAGAGAGTCTGGTACTGATATCTGACTCCCATGAAGCGCAATCTCTGACACTGTTCGGCGATCTGACAAAGGACGTCATCTACAGGAGTGGGAAGACACTCTTGATAGTCAAAAAACGTAAGGTTCTTACAGTGTGTCGCTACAAGGTTCAACACGGCAGCGGTTCCGCGACCTTTACGGACCAAACCAATTTCCAGACCCTCTAGGTCGGGCAACTTGGTTAAAAATTGTTCCATTCCTGCGTTAGAAATTCGTTTGGTGTTCCGTAGATTGATGTGTTTAATAGTGGTGCATGAGTTCGCGAGATTGACTATGCCATTGTCCGTGACTTTTTTGCAGCCCTCGATACTGAGGTAAACTAAACAAACACAAAGCTGTCCGATCTCAGCGAGAACCGCATCAGTGACCCACAAACATCCACTAACGTCGAGTTCTCGTAACAGCTTTGAGCGACGCAACACGAAGCCGAGTCCCCGAGATAGTATAAGAGGGCATTTCGACATTCTGAGAACTTCCAAATAAGGACAATGTCTTGCTACCATCTCGATTCCAGTGCTCGTGATTCGATTGCGATTGCAGACGCAAAGTTTGCGAAGTTTGTGGCATTGACGGGCGATGTGAAACAAGCTAACGTTTGTAAGACGAGAACACCCAGATCCTGAAAGATCAATGTACGTGATAGCAGAGGACGTAACGCGCGAAACTAAACAAATTACGGTCCTGTCGCGGATTCGCGCGTGGGCACAAGAGGACAAATCAACGCTCCGCCACAAACTTGGATCCAGGCCTACGCGGCGCCATTGCTGACAGACTCTTGATATGCGCATCAAGTCCTCAATTGTAAAATATGAGAAAATCTTCAACAAAAGAGCGTCTGATAAATGAGTATATTTTCCAGTGTTGATCTGCGTTTCTGTATTACACACAGCCACAACAACAGGCAGGCTAGAAGAAAACAAAGTGAATACATTGGATTTTATTTAAAGCAACGCAAAGTTGTCGAACAACCACTTTTATTCGCTTTTCTGAGTACAACAAAGAGGTTTGCTGCTTTCCTTGCGTTGTGTTCATTGCAAAAGTGTGTGTCTGTGGACTGATCTCATCCCTGAATTTCCACTGTCGCTTTTATTTTTAATTCCTTTTTTCCTTTTCGCGTAAGGAAAAGCTAAAAATATGCTTTGTCATTCTTTGTGATCACAAGCTGTTATATGCCTTCAAAAGGTGTTAGTAATTGGACTGTTTTTGCAGTGGTAATTCCTTGTGCATTTTTTTTTTTTTTTTTTTTCATATTAGAGAAAATATGTCGTTAAATTTGCGAACACGTAAATGAGGTTTTATTTAAAACCACCATTTATCGTTCGATCCGGTGAACTGATCAGGAAATTAAATTTTTTGTTAATCGGATCCTATGGCTTGGTCGCTTTGTCGGATGTTCAGGGCTGTTTTTCATATAACGAAAAAAAATTACGATCAGGAACTTTACTTGTTTGAATTTTCGTATCGTCACATCCATTTTTAACATTTCGAGAAAAAATTATTGAAAGAGTTTGTGTCATTGAATCTCTGGACTAAATTTCTCGGTAGGACTGGAGACGAACAGTTTAGGACGTTTCGCCTACATCCATCACTAAAAAAAAGAGGTTTTCTCGTATAATCCTATTTGTATGGAAGTGAAGAATCTGGAGGCTTTGAAAAAAATGGAAACCTTTCCAATCCCACGAATTTTCCTCCCGCAATCTAGGATAAAAATGTGGGATTTAGAGTTTTTCACTAATTGGTTCAAACTGCAGGAAACGATGCCGAAGATAGTAACATGCATGATCGACAAGGATACTTTTAGACTTTTCGAAAACCAGCCTCTAGTTTCCAATCCGTCCTGGAAGCTTCTAAGAAGGCGTCACATGTGGTTGTATGGAATGTTAGCTTGCTGCGCAAAAAAAAAAAAAAATTCACATATTTGGCTGGACCACTTAATGCGCGCATCATTTATGTTTCTCTGTTTTCAAAATAATCAGCCGATCTTGATGTTCTCCCTTTGACTCTTAATTTCGTCAGGATACTCGATGCTTCATTGGTGTCAAGTGTGAAGAACCGGGTTAACAATTATGCGAATGTGTTTACTTGCAGTCACTTCCCTAACTATTTGTATTGCAGCAAGTTATGCTATTGTTATCACAGCGATGGAACTTGAATATTTCACTAAATGAAATTGGAAACGATAGAAAACGTGTTGTGATCTGTTGCACTCTAGATAGCTACCATAAAAAAACTGTAATGAAGCGTTTGTAAAACGTCCACCAATGAAAAACTGGTAAATTGCTCCAGACAAAGAAACGAAATAGGAAATGAAATATTTTATGTGATCTCTAATTATCCGACGCGCAAATCGAAAATATGTCAACAGAGCAGGTTGTTTTTAACGAGGGAATTATCTGCTTTATGAATATATAAAAAATATATTCTTAATTGCGCTATAGAAGGCGAAAGTTAGCATCTGGCAGACTTACGAAAGTAACTATTCCTCGGTTTGCCGAACAATTTTTACTCACTTCAAAAATGTAAGCTTTCATGTCGTCAATTAATTTTTTTTTGGGTTTGTTATTTACCCCAAACATACTGCTTTATCGAACCTTTTCTCAAATCCACATTTAAAAAGATATACACTGACTTGTACTATTTTTAATTCATTTCCTTATGGAGCCAGTTTATTTTGAATTTGCATAACATCAACAAACTTACCGATAATCTTCCCTATAATTTCTAGTTTTCAATACTTCTGGAACCGTTCATTATATCATGGCAAACTGTGTAACAAAAACTCTTTGCTTATTACTTGAACAATGCTGCTATAGATTTGGTGTACTTACCATCTCTGCTCTTGCGAAATCTTGTTTTGAATGATCGTAATATTTCTCGAACGGCTATGGTACGACAAAGCAGATCCCATGGCGATCGCTGATTTTACCGGCTCTATCTCGAGCGGAAGCGACCTCCAACGTAAGCACACAAACGCATCAATGTAAGACGCCGCAACTGGTCTTTTCCCACCCGCTTGCCGCTCTTAGATTCAAAAGATGCGCGCCATTGGCTGTTTCATATGTTGTTTTGTTGCTTTCAATGCGTGGAAATACGGCGTCTGAAATATCATTTCGTCAGTCACGTGCTATTCGTTTCCACAGAAACAAGTTGCGTGCACGCGCACTGAAGCAAATCGAAATTAACAATAAATGAAGTTTTCGTGCGCAGAACGCCGAAACATCCCTATTCGTTAATTGCAGCGTCGCTTTTCGTAACTGCGCCAGTACTACAATACGATTCGAGTCTGTAAAGCACGCAAATTTTTAATTAACTTCTTTCCTTGGAGCAATATTTACATTTAGGGGCGACAAATATGGTTGAACTTTAATGGAGCCAAGTGCAAATTGTGACAGAAATCATTCTGACCACAGGCTAGATAAGAGAAAATCTTTGGGTAATTTGCGGGTCGAAAAATGATTGTACAACCGACCAACAACCTGTAAGGGCTAAGCGGAAGGCTTAGACACCTGTCGACATTATTGGTATTTTCATAAACAAATGACCCCCTCGAGAGTAAGTTATCTTTATTCATGATCATCCTCACATGATCACATATGAGTGCCTGCCTGCACAACTTATGGTTCACATAGATTTCTTTGTCTGCTGGACTAAACAGGCGTTTTGAAATTCAGGGCGCCGTCAGCTCTCCTACAATCAAGGACACCTTATGCCGTCGCAGCGGTGGAAAGGTGATGGGCTGTGGGTTTTCTATCCGTCACAAAAACCAACTGGATCTGCCATCATATAGGGAATCACTCACATCGGGGTATGTGCCTTTATTTTGTATACCTGTTGTAATTTTTTGGACGATTATTTACCCGCCCGCAATATAAGTTCCGTTCGGCTGATAACAATTTCTATGTTTATTATAATAGTACGATGCCAATATTGTCAACTCTTAACGTTCGTATGTATGAACATATGAAGTTCATATATTTTCTACTGCGAGGATCGTGCATCATAAGTATCTTAAAGTTAATCTTCGGCTTGGATAAGCATGGTTGTTGACTTCTCAACTCGAAAGAACCTTGTTTAAAAGCATCTCGTGTGTCTACGAAATTTTTAATAGGTAAAAGGACATTTCTGATTTAACAATGGAGGCAGTTTGAACAGCACTGTTGACTATTGTTACGCAATTTTCAGATACGAGCGGCTTATTAAAATAATTTTAGCAGAGATTAAAACTTTCGCGTTCAAATTTCTCTTTTAGCCAAAGGAATTTTTAGCATCTTGAAGTTCGTAACTTGTCATTAATGCACCGTGTCATAATATACAACAGCAATAAATTTTCAATTTAATCTCGAGAAGCGGTATTAGTTCGCATGTACTGAAACACGTATAAAGAAAGAGAAAAAAAAATCATTTTTTGCCAACCTAAAGCGTAAGCTCAAGATATAGTTTAATTTATTTCGCCATTGTCTGAAAATTCACCGGAGGATTGCTGCTTACTAATTTTTAGGCTGTGTGAATATAACATGCCGACGTTTTTGTCTCGTTTAGGAATTATGGTTTGATTGTAATTAGATAAAACTAATAATGAAAACACTTCATGAAATATCAACAGATACTTGGAAAAATGCCCGTTCACGTTCTTGTTGTAATGCCCGCAGGTGGAAAGCCATTCTAATTTCCCTATTTTCATGCGAATCAATAATCAGATAGGATCTCATTAGCATTTCCTTTTGTGTAGATTTTCTAGGATTTCCTCGGTATTTTTCCCTTTAAATCACAGAGTTACCTCTTTGGGGATGTTCTAAGTTTTTACTATCTATAGTTCAAGGTTTACCAAAACATCACCAAACGAACTTTCTGTTTCCGTCTGTTAACTAACCCGAAAAACCTTCATCATTTGTATCGCTGAGATAGATCTTTGATAATTTGCGACAAGCGCCAGGAAAGCCGAATCCACTTCAAATTTCCAAAGTATCCATTTTGGCAAAATATTTCTCAGTGCGTTGTCCGGTGACTTCGAAGTTTTAAGAGGATTTTGTCAAATCTGTTTATCATATTATGTGTAATTAAGGAATTTGACTTGAAAGCTTTAACTTAAGATAAGGCAATCACTTCTCTCAAACGTCTCATATCGGCAACACTGTGGATTCTTTCCAAGGAGAGCAAAAAATTATCAAAATTCACCAATCATTTTTTATAGTGCATGCGACACTGATCTATTTTTGCTCCTGAGCCTGTGTTTTGCCAATAGAAGTAATAGATGCACGAGAACACTTTTGGACACTGATTAATTTCAGCGTCATAAAATTCAGCTTGACTCTTTGCAAATATTTGCATAGGGACAGATTGAATACTGATGATAATAAGTAAAATAAATATGTGGTTTCTGTAAAAACCAGACGCTGCATTACATAAAACAATTCTTCAGCCGCTCTCACCCCTCGTGGCAGAAGGGGGTGTGGGATTTCTTAACCGCGGCGCATGCATTTCCGCCTCCTTCAACCACTTCTTGAAAATCACTTGTAGACTCTATTATGAAGGCTAGTTTTATCTCACTAAATTCTTTTCATCGACTGAAATATTTCTAAAGAAAGTGACCGAGTCATTTTCTCTTGAAATCGTAGAATACATGAAAAAGTGGAAAAACGGACTTCTCGATTGACATTTGTTACACCCTATGTCTGGCTGTTCCATCTCCCAAGGAAAAGCATTTCTCCCTGGGGGGAGAGTACGACTTCACGTAGGTTAAGGGATTTACAGAAGAAAAAAAAGCAATTATTAAAGATCCATCTTAACCAAACGAATCATCGCAAACATCACTCTGTACTGTTATATTGTGAACTTTTCGTGAATAATCCTTGGTGGAATCGAGCAGTGGGGTTGATTTTCATCAGAGGCGGGGGTTTTGCTAAAGCATCGACTTGGGAGCATACTAGTACGCCTTACTAAGATGAATTATCACTTTTGTATACCAGCAGAGAACTCACTTGTAAACATATCGCGCCCCGTTTCCCGGTATCCCCTTCCGGCTTCCCTGGCCCATATCCTCTTCCCCAGCCCCCTCTCCGCCTCAACAATGCCCCCTCTATTGAATTTACCCAAGCGATTATATTCTCTTGATTTACCTTCTTCATATCGTTTCAATTTTCATGTTGCTCCTAAAGGTCACTAGATCTTCCACCTTGAAGATATTCAATGAATTACAGTTGATTTTTCTCACAAATGATGTACGAGCCTACGTTTTTTAAATTCATCTTGCTGACAGAGGTAAATTAATTAGAGTACGCATCTCTCTACACCTTCGGTAGATGAAAGTCTCCGACACGGCGATACGAAACATACATTTTGCGTTGAAAACATGATTATATGTTTAGGTCGGACTCCTGGACGTAACAAAGAGACACTTTTTTTACGCAGCAGAAAATTCTTTTTCTCTAAATCTGACTCAAACGAACGGTTTATTTCACTATTTCCCCCTTTTTCATGAGGATTCTACAAGATGTCTTTATTAAGAAACTTTCACGTTTC